ACAAACTATCAGATGGTAAAACTTATGATTCATGTAGAGTTAACAAACTATTAAATGATAAAATTTAATGATTTATGTAGAGATTAATCCGTCAGCCAAGACAAAAAAAGTGTTACACTCACTGCTCGAAGTTCTCATAGAATTGCATGGATAGGAAAAGCATATTCGAGATGAAATTATCGGGCCGGTCAAAAAAGTCATCTTTCATATTCTTGAAGGCCCGGTCATTGATTTGTTTCTGTCTCTCCTCCCACTGCTGGAGATCTTCGTAATGTTCGTGATCGATGCCATCGACCTGGAAATTCGAATTTATTACCTGAAGAAACTTTTCAAATACGGTTCAAAATTATATTTGAAAATTATACGGTTCAAAATTATATACAAATACGTACCTTGCTACGAGAATCGTTATAATCATTAAAGAATGGTAGAATCTCTAAGATTTGGCTAGCGTTCTTGAGAATAAAATGGTGAATACTGAAATATCACAGCAATGAAACTCAGGCTCTCATTAAACAATTCTGCAGCAGTTTTAAACTACTAATTTTTTCTCTTCCGGTTACAATGTTTACTCGAAATATTTACAAAAACAAATTTTAATATACACCGGACATCAACGAATCATAAAAACCCAATATTTATTTTCAAATCAAACCAAACACACCAAGTTGTAAAGATGGCCGTTAAATTTCATAATCTATTCGACGATAAGCGAGTTAATAATCAGATGTTACTCGTCATGAAATGAAGGACATAACAAGGTCATCGAGGACCCATGGAGGCCTGTAGTCTTTTTAATTCTTTATCAGTTACTGATACACGTTTTAGTTCCCCTGTACTACCGCAGTAACGTACATTATTGCAAGACCACAGCCTTGAATAATAATGTAGTGATCGTTGAATTTGCATTTTACCCACCTTATTTTCTTCGAGAAAAGTAATGGTTTATTATTTTTCATACCTTAGCTTTTATCTGGACATTCCCATCAGAATGAACGTCTAACTCGGAGATGTCTGTGCTGGACGAAAAAATGCACCCCATCCTGACTCTTGCGGATTGCTTCACATTGAATAAATGCAGGGGGCTTCTTCTTCTTGGTTGGGGTTTTGCTTCTTGCCGTGAACTTGGGCCCTTCAAATCGTTTAATTATATCTAATTCCTTAAAATAACGATGCAATTGTACATTTTATTTTCATGTCATTTATTGAATGTGGAGCTTAACTTTCAGCCCATGGAAAACCACGTCACGAAGAAAAAATAATTATCCGGTTTTGACTTGTAAAACTGTTTATTGGAAGAATTGTTTGCACCAATTTTGATTAGCAATTTCCTTCAATTGTTTTTCTCGTTTCAATATTATTTTCATAGCATCGTTCTTTAGTTTCAGTTACATAAATGCTTAGGCACTCGTTATCTGAATGCGGTACAGTCGTGGCCTCTTATATGTGCGAGTGATGCTTCGTTTCAAGTTAAAGATTCCACTAGCACTTCAATTTCTCAAAATTGCTATAATCGACATATTTAATGTTCAAACTCATCATTTTTTCGTTTCCAATTGATATTTACAGTACATTTGACACGACAGTTTCTTTCATAATTATCATAGGCTCGCTATTTAGCTATCATTCACAAATTGCCATAGGCTGAGCTAAATGCACTTCAAACTTTATCAAGCGTTACACATTCTTTAGCTTGCAACTTTCCATTCACATCACATGCAAAATTGTACATAGTGTCTTAACCACAAGTTTTTTCTATCGTAAGTTCACGAAGTTGATACCAACTTTTGCATTTAAAACTTGCTAAATAGCTCAAAATGGCTCACGACTGCATTGATCAACGTCTAATTTCAATTTGATCGCTTGATCACTGTACGTTCCTATGACCAAAATGACTGTGGAGACACTTAACGTTGATGAGTAGAGAGTAATTCGCTGGTGCTGTTAGAGAGTACTTCGCCTATTATAAAGAGTAATTCGCTGGTGCTATTAGAGAGTAGTTCGCCTATTATAGAGAGTAATTCGCTGGTGCTATTAGAGAGTAGTTCGCCTTTTATAGAGAGTAAATCGCTGGTGCTATTAGAGAGTAGTTCGCCTATTATAGAGAGTAATTCGCTGGTGCTATTAGAGAGTAGTTAGCCTATTATAGAGAGAAATGCGCCTATTGCTGTACGGGAAAACTCCTGATAAACTGGAGGGTGCACCTGAGATACAGAGCCCGTGTTTTTCTCACGAGCGTAAAATGATGCAGGGATTTTTGCGTCGTCACGCCTCTAGACATTAGATTTCAGCTCCCACAAGAATACTTATTTCTACGGGAATCATGCTGCAAAATCCAGAACTTTTTTAAAATTAAAATTTAAGCCCAAAATAATAGAATACTTAGGTGTAAGTTCCATGATTTTTTTCATACGATCCATGATATTATTTCTGAGGAAAGAGAAGTTGAGTGAATTACAGCAGAATAAACTTTCTCTATTTTTTTAATTTTCGCAATATCGCAATTTTTCGATCCTTAATTATATGTAATGAATAGCAATGGATAGACATATTTTCTTCACATGTATATATTTTTTGTGCTGAGGTCTCTTTAAAATTTTAATTTATATAACAATTTAATGTTAACTCGAGCTCTTCCCTAATTAATATATGTATACCTATCCGAAATTCGTACCTGGCACTCAAAATTTTGGAATAAATCAATTCGTTCATTGCCGTTCGGTGACGGAAATAGCATCAACAGCCGAAAAAATGTTCTGCGTTTTCTAATTAATCATTGTGCACCTAAAGCAAATTATAAGATGACGCAAAGCTCGTCATGAATGAATAATTCAAATTTTTGTACGTGAATAGATTTAACTTATAAATATTCCTTCACTGATGCCAATTAAATTCAAGTTGATAATGAAATGCAAGATTGTGCACCTCAAGCATTGTGCACCTCAAGCAAATTAAAAGATGACACAAAGCTCGTCATGAATGAATAATTCAAATTTTTGTCTGCGAATAGACTTAACTTATAAATTTTCCTTCACTGATGACAATTAAATTCAAGTTGATAAAATGCAAGAAGTTCTTGCAACCAGCTCAGCTCCTTCACTGATACTGTCTTCTTCGCACCACTCGAGCTGGCCAGGCCTTATCTGTTGGCCTTATCTTATCGCAGCTCGGACAACGGGAGATACACTAGACTTGAGAACGCTGGACAATCTCTTGTTAACGTCATTCCCTTAATAAAATGAATTTTTTTATTTGGATTTTCAATTAAACTTTGAGTTCTTGATAGACGCATAGACTGCTCCTTTGCCTGTGCAGTACAACACTACAATCTTGGTTTTTGTTACTTTTTTGAAAATGTATGTAACCTGTTGTCAAAATATTAATATTTTTCGTATTACTAAAGCATTTAACTCTAATACTATTGCCGATGCTAATACTGAGAGTATTTAATTTCTTATTTCGTCAAATGCTCCCTCAATTTTAAACACACTACATCACCTGTCCAAGCATTCGTTCTTCACTTCGCTCATAAATCATGTTTCAAGATGATTTTAAACGCCAGTTCATGCAAAAGTTGCTTTATCATCTAGGAATCTAATGTTACATCATAGCATAGACTTCCGATTTATCTTCAGCTTATTGATTCGTCATTTTACAGTTTATGACGAATGCTCCATTGACCCGAATCCTTGGTTATTGCTTTATGGTCGAATCGAGGAATAATCTGAACCACAAAACTGTAAACTCATTCATTTCCGATGATTGCGCAGTATTTGCGTGAAGTATCTACCTCATGTTTACCTAACAACTCCATACTGGCTTATTTACATATTTATCTTATTGCACTTTGATTTATTGTCACTGCGATGTGCTAATCCCGGAATCGCAGTCTGCTTAACACAAATGTACAGTGGGCATATCGGAAATTATTGCGGCACGTTTACATTCAATTTTAGGTATGCACGACTAAAGTTAAGCACCGACTGGAAGGGATTTCCTACACAATTGGATAGAACAAATTTAAAAACTAATTAAACATTACTTGTTACCTTACGTCTCTACTGTGCTTCCAAATTAATCTACAAGCGCTACAGAGCAATGGTGTTTGAAAAAAGATTAGATCGTCATCACGAGTGATGTTCATAGACATGAATTTTCATTACGTTTGAATATAACTGCAAAAATTCTACGGTCAAAAACCTAATGATACGCCTTAATAGGTTTAAGTTTCTCTTATGGGGATACTGCAAAGTCTTGGGACACCATGCGTACGATGCGTGTTCCTTATCTGTAATGAGTAATAAGGTGAAATTCTTGGTCGAAAAAACGCGTGCATTACGATTATCTGTGTTATCATGTCACTATGGAGGCAGCAGTTGACATGCTGAGTCGGATGTGGTGAAATACCGTGCTTTGGGCATATTTAATTATCTTATTTTAGCTTTGCTGACTAGCGAAACTCACCAAATTTATAAGGGAAATAATTAGCTTTATTAATTGCTTCATTGTTGTACGTCTGCAATTGTCTTCCTGGATTTAATATAGACACTTCCATTCAAATTTCCCGCTCTAAGTCATTTAATGGAGTAAATCCCCTATAGTATTTAAGTCAAGTCTAAAGCCGTTTCTTTTTCAAACTTATTTTCCTTATTTAAAATAAAACGCTTTATTAATGGCAACAAAAAATTTCTACTAATTTTCTTGGCGAAAAGTTCACTGAGGCTAAAAAAAGCAATTTTCGTGGCGTTGGGGAAAATTCATCTTGTTGTATGTGAATTAAAATATCAACAAAAAATTTCTATTACTTTCTTGGTTCACTGAGGCTGGAAAAGGTAATTTTCATGGCGTTGGGGAAATTCATCTTGTATGTGAATTAAAATATCAACAAAAAATTTCTATTACTTTCTTGGTTCACTGAGGCTGGAAAAGGTAATTTTCATGGCGTTGGGGAAAATTCATCTTCTTGTATGTGAATTATAATGTAAAATTAATCATTGCAGATTGAGCCCGTCGAATGGGCCTACCAGAACATCGGAGAGGTTGCGACCAAGACTAGCATCACCTCGATGGCAGACTACCTCAGCAGGAAGGTGGGTTGTTCACTTCTTGTCTAATTATAAGGGGACATTAAAATCATTGTCTTATAGGCATAAATTTATTATGATTTAGAGGAGATTTGACAAGAAATATTATGAAATTATAACCGAAATTCATGGATATTTTGTTTAATGTTGTTGTACTTGTTAATCTTGAAAGAAACAGTCAGTGGAAGTTTTTAAATCGTTTGGGTATTTTTAGTCGAAAGAAAATATTTTTAAATAATTTAAAATTTAAATCGTTACGCACATGAAATGAGTGATTTTATCACGACATAGCCAAACAGTAGTCAAAATGTGATAAAGGAAAATGTTTTATTGCGTTAAAAATCGAGCAGCGACTCGGAATGAAATCTCATTAATGTGATTAAATGCTTTGCTGTGAATAAATTTTTGAGATTAAGTGCGTTTTTGCCAACGACAAGAAAAAACAATCCAAAACAAAATTTTGATCTTACTATGTCTTGTGAAATATTTATAACAATCGTTCAGGTGAGATAAACTTTTTTTAATAGAAACAATTTCTTCTTATTTAATTTGTAATTAATTGACCGGTGGCATGACAGTCTTAGGGTTCGTACGTACGGGCGTGAAAGTTGCATGCTTGCCATACACTCAGCACATGCCTGAGCTTAAGCCAACCAGTTAACAAGTTTATCATGACGCAAAATAATGTTTACCGTATCATATCATCTAATTCAGTCTTGAGTCTAGGTTCAGTCAATATACCAGGCCATAATTTTACCAACATTACATGAGTTTACAAAAAATGAGATTAGTTATCAGCTTTGAAATTAGACGACGTGACGTCAATGTGTTGCTAAACGTTTCAAAGACATTGCGTTGTACATAACGTGGATTCGTATGCTCTAAAAAATTTATATGCCATGTATTTTTGAGAATATGCAAGTAAACAAAAACTAAATAAAATAGTATAACCCTAGGAAATGAAGGTATGCGCGAGGTATCTTGGTGCAGCCTTAATAAGTAAATAAATACTTTTTTAGGCAGATAATAAAACAGAAAGAAGCAGTTTATTATGAAATTATTGTCCACGGATGATGGGATATTTGTGCAATCATATATAAATTTACTTGCGGAAGAAGTAATGGAAATAAAGTAGAATAGCTTAAACGGCACACAATACTAAATTCTTCAGCTTTAGGATGCCCGATGATGAAATTTCTTTTAATATTTTAATGAAGTTAGTCAAATATAAATTCGAGGATCAATAATAAGGGCAATATGTGAGCATTTGACCTTACATTACCTACTAAATGTAGAAGTGAAACAATGTCTAGGTGTTGCATGTAAGAGGCCATTTGACTATTCATTTCAAGCACGATCTATTTTATATTGATTCAATTTCTTCATATATTCCAATGTTCGTTCATGAGTGAAAGAATGTTACGATGTTGCAGGAGTTCGATCTGGTGATCAACCTCTCCATTCGCGACTCCGGCGCCCGTCGCGTCTCATCGTTCGTGTCCCACGGCTACAGGACGCGCCGCATGGCTGTCGACCACTCCGTGCCTCTCATCACTAACATCAAGTGTGCCAAGTTGCTGGTGCAGGTATGGAGACGAATAGAATAGAATAGAATAGAATAGAATAGAATAGAATAGAATAGAATAGAATAGAATAGAATAGAATAGAATAGAAAAGAATAGAATAGAATAGAATAGAAGTGTCGGCGCTGAAGAAATAGGCCCATGGCCTGTTGCCGATTCTTGAATTTTTCGTGACTTGATTTACAAGGGATCCGGCCTTTGGAACCCGATCTTTCCATAGCTGACGATTGATTGAGATAGCTGCTGGACTTATTGCCTGGTCCGTAATTTGCTAGGCATTTTAAGACTGAACAAATGCGCTTGCATAGCTTCGTTTAGTCTGTTCTTGAAGGAGTAATGCTCGCTTTTTGAGCACCATTGTTCAATTATATTACTGACATTCATAGATGTAATGCAAATAAAGAATATTGTTTTTAGAGCTGTATCCTGTTCCGTAACAGGGACATAATGCAGCTTTGGTTTAGGCCAAATGTTTGTCTTGTATTCCTACGTCATAAAATTGTTTTATCGAAATTAACCGCTACAGCGAGACGAGGCGAGAAACTTCGTGTAAAAAGACGAGGCAAAAGAAAAACAAAACCTTCCGGAACTCAATAAAAAATCGTGTCAATATTTGTGTCCCCGATGATTTTGCAAAGAAAGGGGTTACGAAATAAATATATAAAACGAGTCGTAACATAACTATGCGAGATATTCTATTGCGAAACAAAACAAAACAAGAAACCTTTTATTAAATATTAACCGACAGTTTGGTAATTTGACTACATTTTTTAATTGCCAATTCTCCTGTTAAGCTTTTCTCGCATGACGAACCATATTAGCTACAGTAAGTCAACTAATTGTAACTGACTATAACGTCCGGATTTAGTTAGCCCTCCAAATATTATGTATTGATGCTATCAGCAATAGTCTGTGACGTATATAGTGCAATGAGTCAGCCGCTTAAGAGAGTTTAGAGGGACTTTCCCTGGCGATAAAAATTGTCTGTCATTTAATTTTTTTCACCAGCGACATAACTTTCTGTAGTATTATGAATGAAATATCGCAAACTGACAAAATGTTCTTCAAACAATGCCCAGAAAAATATTATATATATTTTTATATTAATAATTAAATGGAATTTCTCATTATTTAAATTTGAAAATTTGCTGCGTCTGGAAAATTGGAAAGATTCTAGCCAAGAATGCCTAGTCTCAGTATTTTAGTGAGGGTTAAAAATGTTATCGGGTTTTATCTCTAATCGGTTACAAGTTTTTGTATCGTTCCGTCTCGTAAGAAAACTATAATGTAACGCAGAAACTTCAACCAAGATCCATAAGATTGGTCATCATTTAAATTAAGAGATAAAAGTGCTGAGAAACCTTTTCTAGCGCATTTTCTCATTTATGAAAAAATGCACTATTGTGCTCGCCATGTCCGTCTGTCTGTCTGTCCGTCCGTCCGTGACCTCAAGTTTTCGTCGACGAGAAAATGCGCTCTCTATCACTCACTGCAGTGAGTACTGAGTTATATTTTTTTGATGAAACGCAGAAACTTCAACCAATATCCATAAGCTTGGTCATCATTTAAATTATCAATGTAAAAGTGCTGAGAAACCTTATTGGCGTGACAGGCACTAAAGCACGTGGGCACGTCACCTCGCATCAAGACGCACGTAGACTGCATCACGTCGAGCCGCATCATCAAGTTACCTGGGCTCATCGACTGCCACGTGCACGTACGAGAACCTGGTATGTCATTTAAAATTATAATCTTTTCAAAAGTTTTTAATAATAATAAATAGATGAATGATTTACCTTTGAAAAACAAGCTTGTAAATAGCTTCATTCTCGTTTGCATTTGTGTTTATTTTTGCGAGAACCTGGTATGTCATTTAAAATTATAACTTTTTCAAAAATTTTTAGTTAATAATAAATAGATGAATGATTTACCTTTGAAAAACAAGCTTGTAAATAGCTTCATTCTCGTTTGCATTTGTGTTTATTTTTAAACCAACGGCTGGTAAACGGTTGCTCTCTTATTAGTTTCTGTTTTTTTTTCATATATTCAATTGATACGAAATGTAAAAATAAATATTGATTGTCTAAGAAATTGATGTCCTTTTGATTTTGTTTTATTATAACTACACCGTATCAAATTTTTATCTTATGATAAAAATTTGAAAAAAATATCTTATCTTATGAGAATAAATAATATCTTAACATCTCTCTTAAAAATATCTTAATAAAAAAAATATCTTAAAATATCTTAAAAAAAATATCTTATGATAAATTTTTATCTTATGATAAAAATTTGGCGCGCAGGCATGACGCATAAGGAGGACTGGGCGAGCTGCTCTGCCGCGGCGCTGGCCGGCGGCATTACGACCATCCTGGCGATGCCCAACACCGCCCCCACCATCACGGATGCCCTGGCGCTGCAGCTCGCTCAGGAGGTATACTATAATATTTAATATTTATAACTCCTAGAATATAGAGCTTGATCACCATGGCATCGTCTATAACTGCATTCATAACTGCAGCTCGCTCAGGAGGTATCCTATAATATTTAATATTTATAACTCCTAGAACATATAGCTTGATCAATATTCTATAGTCTATATTAGTATTTATTTAAAAGCGGGAATGTGGTTACAAATCCAGCATATTTCCCCTCAGTAATGCTGTGAATTTCAATAGTGTAACTCAATCAGTACGGATATTAGCCTTCACACGGGAAATGAATTTATTCCCCCTTAAAAATCAGGATTTCCGAAATTTGCTCTGCCGACCGATTTGAAAGGCGAAATTTGAACGTGTAGAAAATTTAATTTTCTGAGTACTGATTCTGATCCCAATAATTTACGCTAAGGACGCCGTCGCCCTCAAGATGTACCTCAACCAGACCTTCTCTGACCTCACGCTGCTCGACATGGGCGCTTGGTGGCAGGTCAGTCTCTAGTTTCCTATTTAAAAATCAGTCTTTCAGCATTATATCCCTTGACAAGAGACAGACCTCAACCAGACCTTCACTGACCTCACGCTGCTCGAAATGGGCGCTTGGTGGCAGGTCAGTCTCTCATTTCTTATTTAAAAATCTGTCTTTCAGCATTAATTTCCTTGACAAGAGACAGACCTCAACCAGACCTTCTCTGACCTCACGCTGCTCGACATGGGTGCTTGGTGGCAGGTCAGTCTCTCATTTCCTATTTAAAATCTGTCTTTCAGCATTAATTTCCTTGACAAGAGACAGATTGTCTGGTGCTATGAAGAGATAAGGTTTTGACGAATTACTGAGATAAGACGTAAGCATGTATGACGCACGTCAAGGCGATGGTTATCTTGTGCTTTATAAGCTATTTCTAAGGTCGGGCTCAATAAATCTGTGTTAGATGTATTTACTGAACATTCTTGAACTGCTAATGGTTAGAATTCAGTTTTGAATTAATCGTGTGCCTGAAAATGAAAATTACATATCCATCTATATATGAGAAATTTTATCCATTTATTTGAATTCTACTGACACCATTTGGACATTGAAGCTCGCTGCTGCAAGCATTGGACATGTTCCATATATGATGAGAGAGAACGGTCGAGTAGAAATTTAATTTATGTGCGCTCGTTACATATATGAAAATTTTACATTTAATTGAAAAATTATCTGGAAGCGGAGTACGAAACTTCCTGATGGACATGTAAAATCAATTATCGTTATTTAATCAAAGTGGTACCGAAAGGTCCTGAAAATGCATAATTGTCGCTGATAGATCAGTATTTTCCTCTGCAATGTTACTAATATGTTGCAGCGCCTAAAAATTAATAAAAACTGTCATCAGGCTAAGTACAACATATTAATAGTCATTTACAAAATCTGTAAGCGAAACCTTTGTTTGACTGAAAAAATTGTTTTTCCATTCACAAAATCTATAAGCAAAACCTTCGTTTGACTGGAAACTTGTTTTTCCATTCACAAAATCTATAAGCAAAACCTTCGTTTGACTGGAAAAATTGTTTTTCCATTCACAAAATCTATAAGCAAAACCTTCGTTTGACTGGAAAAATTGTTTTTCCATTCACAAAATCCATAAGCAAAACCTTTGTTTGACTGAAAAATTGTTTTCCTTTGCTTGCAAATAATATTTCGTGCAACGACCTCGTCCCTTCCACGCAGCACCTGGACTCATGGCCGGCGCACCTACCAGTGTGCACTCACGCAGAGGGCGCCACCGCCGCCGCCATCATCATGACGGCGCAGTTGACGAAGCACGCGCGCCCCTTACACATCTGCCAGCTCTCTAGAGGCTAAAGAGAAGGTAACATGAACGTCAATACCGTAACTAAGGCTCTCTAGAGGCTAAAGAGAAGGTAACATGAACATCAGTGCCATACTTAAGGCTCTCTAGAGGCTAAAGAGAAGGTAACATGAACGTCAGTACCGTCACTAAGGCTCTCTAGAGGCTAAAGAGAAGGTAACATGAACGTCAATACCTTAACTAAGGCTCTCCAGAATCTCGGTCGTGGCCAAATACATTTTTATGACGCAGTTGTACGCTATTTTGTTGGGTATTTTTGTTTAGCTTGTGAATAAAGGTCTGATTGAATGTGAGTCTACCAAAAAAATGTGGGCAAAAAAGCCACTTAGCTTCCAAATTGTTTGTGTAGAGGATCTTTACAATAAGGTTCCGTTCTTAATGTATAAAATGTGTTATTTTAATGCAGTTAAAAAAAGTCTTTATCGATATATTTTATTGGTTAATGCAAAAAAAAAACTTTACTCATCTTGTCAACATTTAATGTCGTGCTTTCAATTTGATAACTATCATTCACTTATCTTATATTTAAATCCTGATCAGGGGCTGCCGGTGACATGCGAAGTGTGCCCGCATCATCTCTTCCTGACGAAGGAGGACGCGCCTCGTCTACTGGGGCAAGGTGCCGTGTGCCCTCGACTGGCCACCAAGGAGGACCAGGCGGCCTTGTGGAAAAATTTAGACGTCATCGACTGCTTTGCCACCGACCACGGTAGAGTATTTTCATTTAACTTCCTAAACTGTAATTTTTACTTGCTTTGTATTCTCACGTATTTTGTAGTGACAAAATTTATCGTTTCATCTCTGGTTTATGCCTGCCATCAATGATGAAACAGCTTTAAAATCGCGACAATAGGTTTTAACGGTGGACATCCGTTGCCTTTTGGGATTCGAGCATTTGAGGAGACAATAAATAAATTTGTTAAGTGACGTATGTATGTATAAATTGTACACCTAAATGGCATGGATATGTTCCAGCTCCACACACGGTGGCGGAGAAAATGATGGAGAGACCGCCTCCAGGGTTCCCGGGTCTGGAGACGATGCTGCCTCTGCTTCTGACAGCGGTGCACCAAGGGCGTCTCTCCATGGAGGTAAGCATCCATGAGCATGAAACCAAAATTTTCACGCAAAAATCGAAAGAGCCATAGAATAAGAAAGAGTTTATTTAGTTTTTAAATTAAAAATATGAATTTAGGACCAGTGATTACAATGACGCCAATTCCCTTCGACTTCGCCATCGCTCGTGAGTTAAACCCAAAAAGTTTTACATACTCGATCGTTACCATAACACTAAACTCGCGTCATCTTTCATGATATTACTCTCTCCAGCAGCCTCGATTTTATTCGTACATTCAGAGAAACTCAACTTCTTCACTTCCCACCCAGGCTTTTAATTACTCTTTTGAAAAATTTTTGATGTTCAGTTGTTTTCGTTTCGTTCCAAATCTCATGTCAAATGCCGCGTAGTTAAATGTAATTATCGTACACCTCAAGGACCTGGTGAACAAGTTGCACCACAATCCCCGCCGCATCTTCCACTTGCCGAGGCAGGAGAACACCTACATTGAGGTTGACCTCGACACCGAATGGACAATCCCTGAGACGCCTGCCTACAGTAAGGCCAAATGGACGCCTTTTGCCGGCATGAAAGTTAAAGGACGCGTCCAAAGAGTTGTGCTCAGAGGTCAAGTGGCATACCTCGACGGCGAGGTAAGACTGAAAAGTTTTCGAAATTATTTTCAAATGAGCATGTTGGGATTTTTATTTGACAAAAGGCTCCTTTTTCTGTACCACCATTAAACCCATTGGGCTAAATTGCTAATGGAATTCTTTTTTCCGTAGATCAATTTTCGAGTGATTTAGCAATAAGATTTTAACGGCATTCATCGAAAATTCTATCTTTTTATTCATTTTAAATGGCTGTCTTCGTCAACACTCATGTTCCGAAAGGTCAAAACTAACGGTCTAATACCGTTACACCACTACAAGAGATGGTGTATAAAAGGTGTAAAACACGAAAATAACGAAAGTTGCATTTAGTTATGCATCACATTTGATTTCCCCAGGTTTTAGCCCCTCCTGGCACTGGGGAAGACATCGTACAGAAGCGTGACATCTCTCCTCCAGCAACTACCCAGAACACTCCACTTATCCGGCGACCAGCATCACCCACATTCCCCCGCTTGGGTCAGTCAGAATCATAGGCACTACACTAATAGTCACTAAGCAGCCAGTAAGGTCGACAAAATTTAATCGACAGGATATGAATTTCCAGAACACCCTACACTGAGGTGTCCAGCACACGATTAGTTAGTATTGATAATTGACCGTAAGATTCATCTAGGATCAAAATAATTGTCAATGATAGCGATTGGGTTTACAATACTTTTTCTAGTTGATTTGGGGCTTAAATAAGCCACAATGAATGAGCAATTTGCTGTTACATTTTTAGATACTGCAAATGTTGAGTTCTGTTTAACTTATTTAATTTTCTATTGGTCATCATTCAGATCTTCTTGAGATAAAGACCGAAGGATTGAACTTGAGTGATGACGTGCGCCTTCTTCATTCGCCCCAGTCCGTCCTTCTCAGCTCCAAAGATCGACTGAGAACTCCCGTAAGTCAATTTTGAGTTTTTTTTACCTTCTGTAACTCATTTTCTCCACTGACACTATCAGTAAAAATTGATAGACATGGAATTATTAAAAAAAATCCGCGTTGACTCGAATATGGGTCGCTGTAGAGGGTTGGGTGCATACATGAGTTGGGCATACATAAGTTTCAAGTGCAGTGTTTCGTTAAAATGAACCGCCCCAGTCCGTCCTTCTCAGCTCCAAAGATCGACTGAGAACTCCCGTAAGTCAATTTTGAGTTTTTTTCAACTTATGTAACTCATTTTCTCCACTGACACTATCAGTAAAAATTGATAGACATGGAATTATTCAAAACAATCCGCGTTGACTCGAATATGGGTCGCTGTAGAGGGTTGGGTGCATACATGAGTTGGGCATACATAAGTTTCAAGTGCAGTGTTTCGTTAAAATGAACCGGTTTCTCTTTTTATTCACTCAATTTGCTCTAGAAGCTAGCGAGGTCAAAAATATATTTTTGGGAAATACAAGGGATTTTGTTAATTTGTTAACTTTCACCAAATAATTTCTCAATAAAATTAATATAATTTATTGTTATTAGCTGGGCAACAACACACCCATCTCGTCTGGCCCCCACAACGGGGTTGAGGCGACCGCACTGCAGCAGCAACTGTTTAGAGTCATGGACCAGACCTCTGCAGCGCACGGCCTGGACAGCGCGCTCAATGGACATGCGCAGACCGGACTCGTTGGGATCCCTTCACTCGTGGTCCGTTCGTTTTTCATCATCCCTATGCATATCTTTTATTCTTTTTATCTTTATTTTTCTTATTCATTTTATCGTTATCTTTTATTCTGTAACTTTTTTTTTACTGATGCATTGACCGTTTCCTTTTCTCGAAGTCTAGAAAGGCTTTCCGTTCATCAGCCCCTATTTGAGAGCCATATCCGTCTATATCCGAGAGCCATATCCGTCTATTTGAAAGCCATATCCGTAAACAGAAGGTTAATAAGAAATCAGGGTTAACGGTCAAAAATTGGCTAACGTGTCTAGTATGACCAGTATCTCTAATTTAAAGAATGATTATTTATTACTTTTTTTCGAAGAAGAAATAGTTGTGAATGAACGTTTTCTTATTCAAGAAACAGATAATAGTGAACAAAAATTATAATTTCATGCAAAAGAAACAAATAATTGCAGACGAACAGCATTGCGCATACGTTTCAATATTCGTGTTTCAGAACCAGCATCTGCTCACGGTAGACCAGCTCAACAAAGAGGCGCTCAATCACCTCTTCTCATTAGCTTCGCATTACCGCGCCTACGTCACCAGAGGGCGAGATTTGACACACGTTCTGTCGGTGAGTAAAGCTTTGTCGGGTAAAGTGTCCGCACATTAAATTATTCCAAAATCTGAATGTTTGAATTTTAATTTTACAAATATCAGTCTCGGGTAATATGCATAAAATTTTCGAGTATTTGTCCGCCTTTCTAGTATTTCATAACTGTTCAAAAATAATTTTTTAAAGTCTGTAAAGATTATCTGATGATATTTTTGTGAGCGTTATCGATACTAAATTAACCAAAAAAATCGATAGGAATGATGGGTGGTCTATACCGTAAAGGATATTTGATTTTCAAACTCAAATTATTTATCGACGATCATTAAAATTTCAGTCTTGAATTGCATAGAGATTCAGCAATGAATTATTATTTGGTGAGAGACAATGTATTCTGTTGACAGTAATGAAATTTTATTATTAGCTCACGTTATGAAGGTTAGGTGTGGTATGAAGGTTAGGTGTGGTATGAAGGTTAGGTGTGGTATGAAGGTTAGGTTTAGTGGTATTCAACCTAGTCAGTTTTATTACGACTAATTCGTATAAAATGGTCATTTTATCTCGGGGACGCCAAGTGGCTAAGAGCACCAAGATTGGAGTGGCAAGTTGAGGGTTCGAACTTCGAAACTTACAACTTGTTGTAAAATTTCTGGTTAAAATCGTCAGTGTGGTTGGGTGGTAAGGAATCAGCGAATGACCTTTATGTCAACGCTGGTCCCACTATATTATTAATATATTATTATCATCGACTACTCAGTACTCAAGAAGTAGCAATAGAGTTACTGGTTGTTCTGATTGAAAGTTACGACTTCATAAATGATATGTGGCCTCCATCGGCGGGTTGGGTTGTAAGGAAGCTGGCACCACTGTATTATTAATATATAATTACCATGGACCACTCAAGTAGTAGAAGAGTTACTGTTTGATCCGATTGAATATTATTACGCAATAAACGATATGTGGCCTGCACAAAGGGCCGCGTGGTGGCGACGGTGTTCTACGAGGAGAGCACCAGGACTTCTAGCAGCTTCGCTGCGGCCACCTGCAGGCTGGGGGGACAGGTAGTGAGTCTCTACACCGAAACCTCCTCCATCAAAAAGGGCGAGACTCTGGAGGGTGAGTATTTTAATAATTTCTAATGACAGTAAAAGAATCAATAATAATAATATTTTCTGTAAGTTTCAATCTCAACCGTGTTGATTTAATCGTGCTGGTTGATTCTATTACAACTTTTTTCAATGAAAATGCCCGAAAAATTCACCATATAATAATCCGTCGCGTCCTATATCAAACAATTTCATGCCTTTCATTCATACGATGAATAGGGCCAAGAAATTTGAATGTTTCGTCTTATATCAAACAATTTCATGCCTTTCATTCATACGATGAATAGGGCCAAGAAATTTGAATCTATGCCTGCAACCATGAGATTAATAAGACAGAGACGTGGCGAAAGTAAGCTCGAATGCCTCGATACAATGAATTATTACATTTATCAATCTGTGAATCTTCAATTTATGAATTTATTCATTGAAAAATCGTCGTTAAATTGAACACATACCTAATGTTTGTACAAGAAGTGACAGCCGCTCTCTCCGCAGACACGATCCGCATGATGTCATCGTATGCGGACGCCAATACATATATCAATCTGTGAATCTTCAATTTATAAATTTATTCATTAAAAATCGTTAAGTTAAATTGAACACATACCCAATGTTTGTACAAGAAGTGACAGCCGCTCTCTCCGCAGACACGATCCGCATGATGTCATCGTATGCGGACGCGGTGGTGCTGCGTCACCCGGAGCCCGGCGCCGTGGCGGTGAGTCGACCTGTTAGGAATTTTCACTGTTCCCTTTACCACGTTTTACTGATTTTCAGAACTGTTAGGCCCCCAATAAAACCATGTTTAGGCAAAGGGCTTCATGGACCAGTTTCCAGTGCTCATATAAAAATAAATAAGAAGAAGACCTTCTGTTAAAACTCAGAGCCATGTTAACTTATAGAGTTTAATTGAGACGATTAACTGAAAAATTAAGTAAACTAAATGGTTTCGATAGCCTCGGTGAAAAAGTTCAGAGGAAACAGTAGGTTTTTGCTTCAAATCAAAGTAAAGTCAGTAAGTCACATGAACTAAATACTAAACAATGCATATGTCAATAGTTTTCTGTAGAGTTTAATTGAGACGGTTAACCGAAAAATTAAGTAAACGATAGCCTCGATTGTTTTCGATAGCCTCGGTGAAAAAGTTCAGAGGAAACAGTAGGTTTTTGCTTCAAATCAAAGTAAAGTCAGTAAGTAATTTTAGTTAAACAATGCATATGTCAATAGTTTTATTTTACCCCCTGGCCCAGTCAGTAAGTAACATGAACTAAATACTAAACAATGCATATGTCAATAGTTTTATTTTACCCCCTGCTCGAGACAGCGCGCGGCGGCCGTGAGCCGGTGCCCTATTATCAACGGTGGCGATGGCGTTGGCGAGCATCCGACGCAGGCGCTACTGGACGTCTACGCCATCAGGGAGGAGATAGGCACTGTCAACGGCCTCATCATCACCATGGTCCGTGCTACCCGCATCATTATTAGCCTACATCGTATACTCGCATCATTATTAGCCTACATCGTATACTCGCATCATTATTAGCCTATATCGTAATTAGTCTCTACCCTATAAGATTATTGCGATAGTCTTCTATGCAATGCTCTGTTAGTACTACACAATGTTTATGATCTTAATAGTGCTCACTGCTCAGCTTACGATATAATTCTTGCTGTCGGTAATATCAGGCTACAATGTTATACTATTATTTTAGGGTGATTTCTGATTTGTGAAGAAGCCGGCAGAAAATAACGAAGTTTCGGCGTATAATTGTTTCGGCTTAGGATAAATGCACGATAACCTTGCATTTTCTGAATTATCAAAGTTTTTCTCTTCGTGAAATAAAAATCCAGCATCTAAACTCAGGTCAAGTGTCAATTTGGAATTAAAAAAATATTCTTTAACGAAATTGTGCTTAGGACGGACTAGACGCAGATTTGCTCATAACAGATTTATAATATCGTGCATGTTTATTTCTTCATTTTCCACTCCCATTTCAAATAAATTTAGTCTTAAAATGCCTCGTACCCTACGGAACAACTGATATCTAGAATCGATTTTAAATCTACCGTCCGTTGAAAAGATCTGATCAAAAGGCCAGTCTAGTCAAGAAAAGCACAAGAATCGGCGACAGGCCTACTCTTTAATGCCGAAGATACTATACTATACTAAATAATTATATAGAATTTTGACCACTGAACAGTTTAGTGTTGTATAAATAGAAGACAATATAATCGTTTTTACCCATGCAGGTTGGTGACCTGAAGCATGGCCGAACAGTGCACTCCCTGGCCAAGCTGCTCACCCTCTACAACGTCAGCCTCCGCTACGTTGCCGTGCCAGGCCTCGAGATGCCGGAGTCCGTGCAGGAATACGTTCGTCAGAGGAATATACCGCAAGTAAGACAACTACTTCATAATTCTTCACTGTCCCACTTTCTTTCAATCCTGAGATATAAGCTTCGATAAATAAGCTAATATACCGCAAGTAAGACAACTACTCCTTAATTCTTTTCTGTCCCGCGTTCCTTCAATCCTGAGATATAAGTTTCGATAAATAAGCAAATATTCCGCAAGTGAGACAACGACTCCACAGTTCTTTACTGTCCCGCGTTCTTTCAATCCTGAGGTATAAGTTTCGATAAATAAACAAATATTCCGCAAGTAAGACAACATAATTCTTTTCTGTCCCGCTTTCTTTCAACCTGAGAATTAAGTTTCGATAGATAAGCAAATATTCTGCTAGCAAGACGACTCCATAATGTACTTTTCTGTCCCGTTTTCTGGTAATCCTGAGATTTAACTTTCGATAGATAAGACAATACTCCGCAGGTAAGAGTTTAAACTAAATCTGGATGTACTTTTTGGTCCCGCTTTCACATAATAATGAGATTTAACGATAAGCTAACATGAAATGAAAATCGCCATAACATTTTCTAATGTCCGAAGGAGGAGCTAAGCAGCCTGGAGACTGCAGTAAGACTTGAAGACTACTTCCTATAGTTCTTTACTGTCCCGCGTTCCTTCAATCATGAGAATTAGGTTTCGATTGATAAGCAAATATTCTGCAAACAACGACTCCGAATGTACTTTTCTGTGCAAATATTCTGCAAGTAAAACAACGACTCTGTAATGTACTTTTCTATCCAGCGTTCTGTCAATCCTAAGATTTAACTTCCAATAGAAAAGACAATATTCCGCAAGTAAGAGTTACAACCACGTCGGGATGTACTTTTTGTCCCGCTTTCTTATAATAATGAGATTTAACGATAAGCTAACATGAAATGAAAATCGCCATAACATTTTCTAATGTCCGAAGGAGGAGCTAAGCAGCCTGGAGACTGCGTTGCTGGACAGTGATGTCGTTTACATGACGAGGATCCAGAGAAGCAGATTCGCATCGCAGGACGAATACGAGAATGTAAGTTTCATAAGTCAAGCAGGTATTGACATTGAATATTAACTAATAAATTGTAATTCAGTGAAATAAATTATGATCAAACAAAGCTAGCAGAAGAGATTGTGACAGGAGCAGGAGGATATGAGAGGTCAGATCTTAGTCAGCATATAATGGCTATTGTATTCATGGCCATGCTTTGGCTGAAAAAAATACCTGTCTATAGAGGATCGCCTGATTAAAGTTTTGTTTGCCAGATAACATTTTCAGGCAAAATTGTACGGTCTAGATTTGTTGGATTGTGTTGGCCGGCAAACTTTTATGATAGCGGTACTTTCTCATTGTATTTTTATAAGTACTCATTAAGTACTTATAAATCAACCAACCTATAAATCTAATAGTAAATATTGAAGTGTGGGCATTTTCGTCCGTCAACTTGGCCCTTTGGCATCCCTGATCGGAAACTCGTCTGACTCAACATGGGTGCTAGCCTTTTAACCTTCATGAGATTTTTAGCACCATATTTGAAAATTTCTATCACAATTCTTCGAAGGAAAATATTGGTCGCTTACAAACTATCGGTACGATTTTGCTACGATTGCTGGAACCTAATCGGTACGATTTTGCTGGAACCTAATAAAATTTGATCATGATTACCAGTGCTGCGGACACTTCTGCCTCACCGCCCACTTGCTGACGAAGGCAAAGAAGCGCATGGCCATCCTGCACCCATTGCCCCGCTTGGAAGAGATCGCCGTGGAAGTGGACACCGACCCATTTGTTGCTTACCACCTTACTAACCTGCTATCACAATACTAGATTACCGTGCAACGCTATTGTTATAAATAAACGCCAAAAAAGTTGTAGTGTCATTATTTCTTTACAAAATGTGTCAGCTTAGCTCTATAGTTTCTGGAAAAAAACTTTACCAAAAATAAGTTCCTCAAGATAAATCCATACGGGAATCTACGATATGATTAGACAAAGCACTTAATGTAATGTGTCTAGCTGAGCAAGACGAAGTTCTTGGCGTACTTAACGGCGACATTGTTTATAGCAGCCGATTTTCTAATGAGACAGAAAAGGCGGTAGATCAAGTCGTAGCTTTATTCGAGATTAAAAACTGCAAGATTTGTATTTTTACTGGTTGTGCACTCGGAAACGTAGGAAATTCAGAAATGGTGACACTTATATTGATAAGGCAATTATCTATAAGTCTCGTGTAACGGAGATTGGCACAACCAAACACCAGAAGCATATCGGAATTTGCATCAGTGACACCAAACACTTCTGGAAATGCTTGTTGCCATAAGGCCCTTCCAAATGACGATTTTCATGAGCATCAAATAAATAAAAAATAATGAAAACATTGAATATTACATTATTAATAGTAATAAACTATAATATTTGCATACGACAACCGAAGTTCGGCCAGTCGCTTCAAATCAAGGCATGAAGCTCAATGCTAGTAAATTGCGTAGACCGACAGAATGAATACGGTATCAGGTGAAAAATTTACATTTCCACATGAGTAATATTGATAGAAGGATAGGGATTCTTCGCGTAGTTATAGTTAATCGTAAAAACTCGAACAAAAGCAATGGAAATACAAACGAGCTAATCAGTTTTTCCAGTCTGAATCAGTCAGTGAACGAGCAAATATTAGGATATCTCAAAAAATGGGCGTCAAATGCTTACTAAGAATGAGCTTACGAACGGCCTGCGTCCCGCCATTACAACACGAGCGCAGAGAACTTCAGGTAACTAGGCTAAATGACATTCAGGTGGATAATAATTATCTAAAATCTGCTCTACCCGAGTACCTTAATCCAAAATAAAGCTTTTCTTAGACTAATCGTAATATTGATACGTCACTGACAGGCTTAGAAGTTATTAGTTCGCAGGTCCCTTCATCAACTGAACTTAATATTCCAAATATTTTTTGTCTTCAAGGATTTGCAAAATACAATACGAATTATTTCAGGAATACCTTGGATACCATCCATGCATCGTACGGTTTTGAGTCGCTACTTATATCGCAGTTATAGGGCGTCTATCCTCAGATTTTGATTATTTTCCTCGGATCATTTTCTTCATCTGGTTAGTACGTTAACAGAGGCCATACTTTCAAAGTTCGCTAAATGAACGTAAGTGCTTACGCTCTATTTTCTTGTCTGTGATTGGTGGATTTTGCTTGAAAGGCCGTAAATGATTGGCTGATGAACTTACGATCTCTTAACTTTTTTTGAAAGTATAGGCCCAGGCCATTAACGAAACGCCACAAAGTCGATCCCTAATTTCTGGTAAGCTCAAGCCTCCTCAGCATTATATACGAAGTTAAAACCCATACGAAAATCGAAGCCACTTTGACGAAGAGGAAGATCATTGGCATTCAGACGCACACTACACAAGCACACACGATATTAGGTGCAGTACAAGTAACATCAGCTTACAGCAGTCTTCGCTACTGTAGGCTCTTCAAAAAGAGTTATTGCAGACAGCTACCGTAGCTAACAAAATTACTTCAGAATAAATTATGAATAAAAATCTCATTTTACGGTCAATTAAAATACATGTGGCAAATGGCAAAAATTCTCGGAAGCGGCTTTGAAATAACACACAGTTTTAAGCCCATAACACGGCCACATCTTTAGCGCAAATCAAACTCCTAGAACTACAAACATCGGGTGCGATTTAAGCAGCACAATTTTACAATTTTAACCTGAAAACTGTAGAACATGCATGAGTGTTCAACGATGGTTATTTCAAACACAATCTAAATCAGCACATCAAACAGAATAAATTATCCATGCATAAATAATAACCGAACAATATTTTCCAAGCCGTAAGTTTGCTTTAGGTGAAATAGGTACACGAGGGCATTTAACTGATTTTAAAAATTAGTGATTATTAGCGACACCTCGTTGAGAAAAAACCGTTATGCAATTTTTTTCGGCATTAGTATACCTATTAATAGATATGAATGATATTCTTTGAAATCCATTCTTTAAATGAATTTTTTGACGAAAACGAAGAAAGTATTTCATTTGCAATACGATTGTTGCTGGAATACGCTGCATGAGCTTGCGAGAATAGTGCTGGCAACCTCTAAACTTTAAGTGAAAAATTCCAGATACTCGCTTAATTAGAAGGAATTCCTCGTACAAACAAAATTTAGAAGATGATGTGACTTAGTACTGTAAAAAGATCATCATAAGATATTAGACAGAAGGAATTCCCAGTACAAACATAATTTAGAAGATGATGTGACTCAGTACTGTAAAAAGATCATCATAAGATATTAGATACTAATCATTTATTCCACAGGTACGTACATGATTACCTTGTAGTAGTAAATACCATCAAGTGAGTAACGACAGGAACCAATGTTTAAGATTGATCTTTGTAATTTATGAAGGAAATACACGTCATACGAGACAAATATTGATATTATTCTGAAATCATCTATTAGGGCACCTACCTATATAAAAGTGAGTGATAAATAATTGAAAAATTCTCTGCTGACGTTGCCCGCTTATTGCAAAAACTAAAAATAGTTTTATGTAAGCCAATAAATCAACATTGATCATGAATTGAGAAAGATTACTAGTACACCAGCACAAGGGATTTGAGGTGTTCAATCACATAAAATTGCATAGAATAAATCGAAAGCTCCTACAACATTAAAATGCAACGAATGTTCGTTTTACAGAGAAGGCTAAATGGATGTTATACAACACACTGCATTCCGAATCTTTGGGCTTGACGCTGACCAATGGACCCCAAGAAAAAATGAACGAGAGATAAGCGCACATTTTTTATATACACAAGTCTTGATGCACGAATAAAATCCTAAACAATTAAAAATAATCTAAGATTACGGTACTCGCAAAACATCGTCTTCAGCGGCACCGAGCGAGAAGCTCACAATGCGGCAAATGGAAGTTTTACTTCATTTCATTTCGAGTTTGTTGCAGAAAAAAAAACATATCAAGCCAAGAGACTGACCAAGAAGCAAATGGTTTTAAATTGTAATTGCTAAAAATCATAGGAAAATTGATCGCATTTTCTAATGAATTATTTCAGAACACTTTTCACTTTTGAACGCTATTATCCATTGATCAAGAAGTTGAGTCTTAAATCAGAAGTAAAGAAATAATGAAACCTTTGTTCACAAGTTAGAAGCACATATAACGAACACCAAGAAAGTTTTCAATTAATAATATGCCAAAAATAATTTTTTTCAGCACTCGCAGCAAAATTGATCTAAAACCTTGATATGCCCTCGTGAACAGAGAATGGTGCATCAGCTGGTTTAGGCGAAGCAAGATTAACTTCATCATTCTTCTTGTGCATTTCAACTCCATTTTCTGATGAGCGTCGACACGTTTCATCAGATGTTTCTTGTCCGATGTGAGCACTTGGGTAATCAGGACTAAGTGCAGAATATTTTTTACTCTTTTTCTTAACTATAACAATCGCCTTTTGTTCATCATTCGTAATTACCAGCTGGGCATTCGACTTGATTGCATCTCCCGAGCAAGAAACTACGCCGCTCTCACCAGCACCCCGGCCATCAAAATTTTCATCAAGTTTACAAGAGTCACCGAGAGCTGCTTCACCAGTATCTTCATGGCATCAGTTGGTGCCATTAGTGCCTTCTAAGCCGCTTTGATCTTCAATAAACTCTACGTGTGTGAAGGGAAAATGTCCTTTCTTGTCGTTAAGTTCGCCTTCCCAGTTGCCGTTCATGTTGGTCTTGGTCACCTTAATGATGTCGCCGCGCTCCAGCCTGAGCGCTGTCTTGTCGTACGCGTTGGGCACTCTGTCCTGGACTACGCGCGCGTATGCTGGAAGCTTTTGCTGCAATAACAGACAACTTATTATTTTATGGTATAGAAAATATTAGGATAAGATTAATTAGATGTCAGGCACTTATTTCTTTGTGCGCGTATGCTGGAAGCTTTTGCTGCAATAAGAGACAACCTATTACTTTATGGTATAGAAAATATTAGGACAAAAAAAAATTTATGTATTAGGATTATAAATATATAATCCTAATTATATATTTATTATTTTTTATACTTAAAGTATAAAAAATATTAGGATTAATTAGATGTCAGGCACTTATTTCTTTGTTTTGTAAACAACAACAATTAAAAGATAAAATGTAAATTTTTAAACTTCATTCCGGTAGACAAATTTTTCAGCATATACTAATTTATTTCAATACAGAAAATCTATGCAATTTTTTAATAAAACATATCAGAAAGTCAAAAGCAATAACGTTAATTCAAACAATCTTATTGCCCACGTCAATTCACTAATGTACAAGGTTGGATAGAATTAATAACTCACATTAATTCCGGGCTTAGGTCTGTTAAGAGCGCCATTATTTGAAGCATCGGGACAAGCGGAGGAGGCTGGCGCGCTGGCAGTACTCGCAGCAGACTGAACGCGTTGGACATCATCGTACTGATGACAATAAAAAGCGATCTTTAATTATGATGCAAGAACAACAAACGAAAGGAAGATTAGGATACGGAAACAGGAGAAAAACAATACTTATCTTCGTTAGTAAGAGTATGGCAAAGAGATTATTAATTTATTCATAAACACTCCAGACTAGCGGTACTCGCAGCAGACTGAACGCGTTGGACATCATCGTACTGATGACAATACAAAGCGATCTTTAATTATGATGCAAGAACCACAAACGCCGGGAAGATTAGGATGAGGAAACAGGAGAAAAACAATACTTATCTTCGTTAGTAAGAGTATGGCAAAGAGATTAATAATTTATTCATAAACGCTCCAGTACTTCATACAGAATAGTAAAGGCGATTTTTCAGACGCTTCCAGTATTGAACTGCACATAGAAAGCCATGATACTTATGACAACATTTACTTGGTGTCTAATTTACTCACATTCTTAATTTGAAAATTCAACGTATCAAAACTAGCTCAAATGTGTGATTAAATCAAGACTTGTCTTCTCGTTTTTACCCTCATTGGACATGAACAATTTACCACAGGAAATAAAACTCCCTTTGTTTCATGTCTTTTAGTATTCTACATATACACGGAGACAGGTGAATAGCTCTGTAGTTTTTACAGCTGTACTTAAGACGCTGATGAAATCCAGCTTACATTCGATACTACAGTCGATATTCTGAAAATGTCAATATATTTTAAAGTTTAAACAGCAACTGAAGAGAAATGATTTGAGCACCTCTGTGGAAGTTTGTCAAGTATTCGAAACAGAAAATGATTATCGCCAGTCACGGCGATAGTTTCTTGCAAGACATATTATCTGTCAGGCACAATCGATGAATTTCTCCCATTCTTTTTACAAATAATGAAATAATTGGTCATCATTTTGGCGTAAAAAATTTTTTAAAAAAACCTACGAGAAATCTGAAATTGTACACGAGATGTGATAAACCTAAAATATCACCGGGGTAACAAAGTTTTGCCGACCACAGATCTCGCGGCGGTGTAAGCGCACTTGTTTTGTGTAATGTAAGTTGGTCGCCGGAATTGCAATGTAGAAGCCAAGCCTGGTTTTAAAGGCAAGTTCAATTCTAGAAAATCATGAACGCGGTAATCGGTACAAGTGGAAATAGAATGTCAGAGATGTGCAAACTGCGGCTTCAAGCAAGCATGAAAGACTGAAAGTTCGTTGGATTTAGGAAAAATTGCGAAAGAGGAAAGTACGTGAACCAATTAATGCGCCACTAGACTAAATAAAATGAATGCGACGTCAGTAGAATGAAGTCGTTTGCTTAGCTTAATGAATATATTTCCAGTTTTTGTTTTGTTCTCACAACTCCGGTTAAATTCAATTTAACGCTCTACCGCCGTATGTCACTCTCCAAGAACATACAATTATACGTAAACTATTAAGTGTAGCAACCTGAGGACGTTTGTAAGCAACAGAGAACATTTTAAAGTTGTCGTACATGGAGGTAAGCATCAGTGCAAGTCATTTGGGGCTCACTAGAACGTATCCTATTTGGTAAGTGGGCTTGTGATAATATTGCTCTGGTTACTCATGTCAGGCGGTAGAGGGCTAAATGCAATGCGTCATGTGCAGTGAAATCTTAACATTTCTATTTAATTGGGATAGCTTTTTACAGATATCATCGGCAATATGAGCTCGTGAAAGAGGAAGCCGATAAACAACGAAATTTGACCAGTCTCTAAGTGCCAGTAAGGCGCGCAGGCATAAAAGACAGAAATTAATGTTCCTTTTGTATAAATTGGAACAAAAAGATTGATTGAAAGGAAATTCAATCTTTGTTTGGAACGAAATATGCTCCAGTAGTCTACTGTAGAACAATAACCACTCAATTGATAAGGTGCAAACAATTTTAGAAAACTTGATACAGTTTCTTGTTGTCATCAATAACGAACGAAACAAGCATCAAGGATTTCACTGCTGTCATGACTAGTATATCGAGTAGATTGAGATTCAAACGATTTACTTATAGAACTAAAATTGCGGCAAATAAGCATCGAAATAAATACTTGCGCTTTTTAACTGAACAGAGATATTATTAATTTTTTTGTTTGCAAATATAATTAAAAAATATTAATATAAATAAATTAATTTTTTGCAAATATAATTAAAAAATATAATAATTTTTTGTTTGCAAATAGTTCAAAAATTATTAATGCTGGCACCGATATCCATGTATGAGCTGCACAAGGTGATGGAAGAGGCTCGATTTTCGGTCCTAGCTGTTCGCAAATCAGAATTTATTATGGACCTATACTATGAATTACTCGGGAATGATCTGTAGTAAACTTGAGATGCGCCAGCTCATTTGGAGCAAGTAAAGTCAAAACTATGATCCGGTGTTACCATGTAACTACCTCGACAAAGTAACCGTGGTGTTGGCTGATGCGATGGAATCGGGTTGCATTGTTACCCGAAGTCAAATTACGCTGAGCGGAATAAGCTGGATTAAATGAAGATTGCTTGGCATGGGCATGGAGATGTGAGAAATGTCACGCGTGTTTTAATGAACTCAAGTTCGTTTTGCAGACCGATAACAATCAGTTTTTCATGATTATATATTGTAAGGTAATGCCAGAATTTCTTTCGAGATGCCGCGACGATAATGATCTCAAACACTAAAATTTAAGTCGTGAAGTTGAATGGATTTGGTGGCCCAGAATGGCTAAGGATTGGCCCGGGTTTATAGAGAAATGTTCGTTTTATTAGAGCCTCTGAGGAAAAACTACCGACATATATTAATGGCAGCGCTTTCATCCTTTCATTTGGTGAGCACTCAATTCAACTGAAAAAATAGGCAATTATTTCAGCGCAATAAAATGTCTGTAGACTTAGATGGTTTCAAATTGCTATTTGACAACTCGGAGTATGCAAGTTGTGTCTTGAGAAGAGTTTAGGCTACAATCGTGATACCAAAGCATTGACGTATACCTACATAAGATCAGATGGAGACCATCACTTCACTTCTATTACCGGCACAGTAAATTGCTGTTGTATCACGCGCACTGCTCCTGAGCCCAAGTTCATCATGGTAATAGCTGTTCCACACAAGAGTGCTGTTGGCAAACAGGTTCCGCTGACAGGTTTCTTCTCACGTATTTCTCAGCGTTTCAGGGCTAAGCCGCTGATGGGCAGACACACATAAAGTGTCTAGCCACTTCTATCTCTTCAGATTGCTCTCAAAGGGCAAAATTTTCAAAAAGTAAGAAAAAGTGATGCAACCGCCACTCTCAGTTAGAAGGAAATTCTAGAATGCAAAACGGCGCTGGAGTTATTCGTAAAGATGTTTAGTCTTCATTCATAAATGAACTTCTATTCAGCAGGATAGCAGCAGGATGTATGGCAGCAGGATGTATGGCAGCAGGATGTATGGCAGCAGGATGTATGGCAGCAGGATGTATATTAAATGGGGGAATCCTGCACAGTCTCCCCCTTCTTTCGTTGTAATATGTCACTATTCTGGAGGTCTCACTCTCGAAGTTGGGAGCCAGTCCGGTTATCATCTTCCAAGTGTACAGTATTGGTATATACCTTTCTCTTCTTCTCTCCAGTGAGTACAGTCCCAAGTGTTTCAGTCTATCCCAGTAGTCCAGCTTAAGCTCCTTCATACCGCTGATCCCGGACGTGAAGGTCTGCTGCACTGACTCCAGTTTCCCTACCACACCCGCCTTCAGGGTGCGATCCTAGCATAAGACTGTCTACCAAATACCTATATTGAACTACAGAAACAGAGTCTAGAGATCTAGAACTAATATAATATATAGCTCTATATATAATATAGAATCTAGTTCTATATATAATATAGAACTAGAGTCTATAACTAATATAATAAATGTCCAGTGAATATTCTAGGAAGTTATTAAGGTCTTTTAGGAGGCAAAGAATGAAATGGTCTCACCAATGTGACGTAGGGCACAGGTATGCTGCCCACGTCGCCCTTGCTGTTCCGCGCAGTCCACCACTGATCTTCATCTTTGCTGATTATAGTCAAAATTTCACCTTTCTTGAATGCAAGATCTTCAGGGTCCTGTAATAATAAAAGGAAGTTACTAGTCTATTCAATTCTTTATCATATTAATTAATATAATACAAGGAAATTACAAGTCTGTTTATCTTTAATACAAGTCTGGTACATATCTGGCTTTAGTCTGGTCTGGTATAATACAAGTCTGGTTATCAACTCTTTACCATATTAAATTAATATTTTTGATGGAAAAATGAGAAAATACATGGGAATACAAGTAAGTTTAGTGCATAGGAAAAACATTTATAAATGGTCACACTGAACTGAATTTCAAGAGGCAGTGGGAACTTTCCTGGCATATTTCTAGTAGGAGATACTTCTACCAACTTCTCATGGGATAAAAATAATTCCAGATCATTCAGAGCCAATTGTAAATAAATGTCAGCAACAAAGGGTCAACATGGAGTGGCTAAATTTAAATTTTACAAAAAATAACAAATTGATCTAAAGATGTAAACAATAAGGTAGATTTGATACTCACCGACCCATCAAAGTCATATTTGCAGATTACTCTGATTTGTTTAATTCCAAGCTTGGCTGGCCGAATGAGTGCTGTCGTATCTAAATAATGTAGTTTGTAAAAGTTTAGCAGGGTTGCCATGTCAGCAAACTCCTGATCACCAATACGATACTTCTTCTGATCCGGCATTTTGTTTATTATGTAGTGGGAAACTTTGTTATCCTCCCTGAAAAAAAGTATTGTTTTAAAAGGAGTAGCAAATTTTCAAAGCTAAACTGGGTCATCAAAAAGTACCTAGTTTTCAATTCCCTTCTACAATCAGCATATCTTTATTCATTAGGTACATCAGCAGCATGATCAATGAATTAGGTAACTAAGAACAATGCACCAACTTCTTTTTCTTCATTGAAAAATATATGTTGAACATATGGAGCCAGCCATGATTTGATGATATGAGCCAACAGGCAGACTGACCTGACACACAGTACCAGGTCACCAACTATGGAAGCCAGCCATGACTTGATGATATGAGCCAACAGGCAGACTGACCTGACACATAGTACCAGGTCACCAACTATGGAAGTTGAGTCTCGGACCAGGAAGACTCCAGGGTCTTGTTCACTCATCAGAATGTCTGTTGCTGCTTGCCGAGTCATAGCACCAGCATACCAGCTGAAAAAAAAACTTTTATTTAAAAAAATCTCTGTAAAAACCAGGTAAATGGAAGAGTTAAAGGCAAATTGAAAAATTTTACACTGCTGCATCATCAAAAATTAGTCATTGAAATAAGAATGATCATTTTAAAGTTAATTCATTATAGAAATGAAAAAAAAAGAATAAGAAAAAAAAGAGGCATGAAGAATGAATTAGCGAGTTAAAAAAATAGTAGCAAATCAACTGGCATACAGAATTTACTAATTCTTGTTGGGAAGCCTAAGATATTCCTTGTTGAGCAAAACATGTGTAAGGTTAACAAAATTTCTATAGAATAATTTGATTGTTAATCTAGCCATTGATAGATTGGGTGAAATTGAAAGACAACAAAGAATTGCTTACCTGGTTTCATCTGTAGGGTCAAATGATTCTCCCATGATGGCAATGGGTTAAAAATACTGCAGTTGTTTGGTAAAAGAATTTCCCCCAAGGCTTAACCCTTGAGAAAAAATGACACAAACTGAACAACAAATGATCTGAAATAATAAATGTTTNTGAGAAAAAACGACACAAACTGAACAACAAATGATCTGAAAAAATAAATGTTTTTGGTAAGCCAATAACAAGCATTTAGGATTAACAACTAAAACAACTGTCAAACAGGGTAATAAGGGATGGCCGGGGTAAATGGGGACAGTCCTCTGCCACGGCATAAAAATGTTACTGTCAAATGGGGTAATATGGGATGGTTTTGAGCATTGTTTGTTAATAACTTCTCACCATGAAACATTTCAAAAACAAGTTTGAGCTCATTTTAAAGGACTTTGCAAGGGCTATCATATACCGTAGCATCTTCAAAAATATTCTATAGGCTATTTGTAAGGTGCCAGACATGAAATAAAAGCCTCCTAATTTACCCCTAGGAAAGGGGTAATAAGGGACACTTGAAATAGAACTAAATTTTAAAACGTTTGAAGCAAACAGAGTGTACTCGTTCATTACACACAGTACCGTCAACTGGGGCTACTTGGGACGATTTCGAACATTTTTTTATTCATAATTTCTTACCATGAAACATTTCATCAACAAGTTTAGGCTCATTTCAAAGCTCTTTACAAGGGCTAACACATGGCTTCTCCAAAAAATTCCATATGCTATTCGTAAGGTGCCAGAAGCAAAAAAAGAGTGTCCCGAGTAGCTCCGTCGAACGGGGCTACTCGGGACACTTGGAATAAAACTTCATTTTAAAATATTTGAAGCATGCAGAGGGTACTCATCCATTACTAACAGTACTCTGAAGTCCTCCTCTTTCATTGTAGATGATGTAGAGGTCGAATAAATGACATTTTCTGTGATTTTTACTTGTTTTTCCTTTATTGATATGATATTACCATATACATTATTAATTACCGTACCGGTATTATTGATGCGATATTACCGTATTATTGATGCGATATTACCATATCCATGAACATGCCCTTGAGCATTTACAACAATCTTGTCCACTACAAGCTTCATATCAGCAGCCTTATAGCATTTTTTCTGTATCTGTAAGCTTACAGGACTGCTTGTTATTTCACACCATTTTAATTGGGTTAAGTGAATTTACTATAAAAAAAAGATTGTGAAAAACATATCTGAAACAGAAAGGAATGTTTCAGTGACAACCAACATACCTATGTTTTGGAGAAATAAATCATAGTTTAGGTCAATTAGGTACTTTTCATTCTATGATGCCTGGTGCACAATTCTATATATGACATTCTATGCACAATTTTGTGATGACCGATGATGCACTAATTTTTCGATAAGTGAAATATTTTTTGCTGAGCGAGGTAAATGTAATCAATATTCTTTGTTTTTAATCAATTTTTTTCTTAACTGGAGCCTTTGCTAACTGAGGTTCTACTGTAAATGCATTTTTGGGGGTATCCCAAGTAGCCCCGCCGTGCGGAAATGGCCGCCATTTTTTTGGATTGAGGTATGCAAATTCCGCAGATAAAGTTTTCATGCTGACACTTGTCTGCCACTTTTTTTTAAGCAAAATTTTTTAATATGGCAGACTACAGACCTTAGCAGAAGTAACTTTTCAAAATATCGTTTTTCACCATTTTTTTCAGGAATTTTTCATAGCTAGTAAATGTAGTATTTTCAAACTTCCTTTATACTACATAGATAGGAAAAATGTTGATGTCTACGCCAATATATTTAGTTTTGCAATATTCCAATTAGTTTTGCTTCTAAAACAGTTTTACGCCATGTCGGAGGACTGTCCCAAGTTACCCCGCCCATCCCGAGTAGCCCCGGTTGACGGTACTCTGAAGTCCTCCTCTTTCCTTGTAGATGATGTAGGTAGATGTTGGATATAGTCAAATGGGGTAAGACAGGATCGCAGCCTTCATGCAAAGAAAGGACCAGCCCATGGCGTGCATTCTAACTGCATTGAATTCAATTTGACAAAAGAATATGTTAGAACAATCATTGACTGTCATTTCAGTGTTTGTGGCAACCCTCTTCTGCAAATAATGAATTTCTGACTAATTTTTAAAGAAAACCTATGTAAAGAAGGGTTACAAAATAGTTAACCCTGTTTGGGAAATAAGCTCTGTCTAATGACAGAAAATTTTTTGGCCAGTTTTGTGGATGTAGGCAGGTAACCTCAAGTAATAGGCAACTTTTTAGACATACTAGGTATTCCTACCTGCAAACATCACTGCCTGACATGTATTCTAAAATGGGGTAAAAAAGGACTGGATATGAGGTAAGACGGGACCACTAAATGATCCTGTTTTACCACACAAGTGGTCCTATCTTACCCCACAAATAGTCCTGTCTTACTCTACAAATGATCCTCTATTACCCTACAGTTTATCAAAAATAGTTTTTAAATTAATATATTATTTTGTTATTTGTGTAGTACATGGAGTACCGTATTTTGGTCAAAATTTTTATCTTTTGCTCAAACTTCATTATAACTTGTTAGCTTTCTTGATTAGAGAAAGTTAGTGCACTATTTTAAATTGCATCAAAGGGATATAGAAAATAGGGATGTCTCTTCCCATTAGTGAGCTGCAGAACGAGTATGTGCAAGATTGGCTGGGGGATAATCACTGTGTGAAACATGAAAAATAATTATGCTCACAAGTCACAACTCTGTGAGAGGGCATGAGCTATGTTTGAAGAAGTGCACCACAAATGCAGTTAGCAAGAAAACACATGGTCATGACATCTGACACTTAAGTTATTATCTATTGGTTTGGTTTTATTACCAATTTGATAAATTTTTCAATGACACTAATGGAATATACATGAAGCATTCAGCAGTGCTCTACAATGAACCAAAGCAACCCACTATTACTATGCTTAACAAAGTTTTCTTGTGACAAAAACTTCAATATGATTTATGACTGATATTAGAGTTGAGTAGTTGACTTCCCACCACACAAAACAGTAGGTAACAAGTGGTTGTTTAATCAAATATTGAGTTTCTAGATGGATAATATTGAATAGCTACCATCATTTCAGATTTGTACTTTTATTAAAAACCTTGTAACATAAGAATTACCAGTTGGTCCTTTCTTACCCCAGCCTGGTCCCATCTTACCCCAATGGGGATTGGGGTAAGATGAGACCAGCTAACTTTTTTTAATCTGTACATCTTCTTCTTTGCACGGTGTCCACTTGGAGTGGACTTAAAGCCGCAGGTCTGCCAGATGGATGACCGTTGGGCCTGAGAGCTTATAGCTTGTGGTGTTCAGCTTCTTTGTATATGAAAATAATTGCTGCCATCTTGTGAGGTTGGCTGATGTAAGCTCTGTACAGGATTGGGTAGAAGTGGAACATATATCAGTAAATGAAATAAGTTACTACTAATGTAATTTAGATAAGTAAGGGCTGCTAACATAACAACCTTCATTAAACAAAAATAATAATAGAAATATATACATAATTAGGTATAATATTGAAAAAAACGTACAGGATCTACTTGCAGTAACTTGCTAAATTGAAACATATATCAGCAATTGTCATGCATTAACAATTCTATCATGCTTGAATATATACAGCATTGCAAGCGAAAGGCGCTCATCTAAACTTCTTAAGTAATCTCTACAGAAAACTAGGTATGTTAGATGCAAAATGTCTGAGTTGTAGCTTAGAACCCATTGCTTGCATAACTAGCTACTGAGCTACAGCCTACACCTTGTGATAGGTTAAGGGTTTTTTTAGTTATTCATGGTATAGATGTTACAGGCTTGTTAGTGATTTCGGTCCTGTCTTACCCCATCTGACTATATTACTTTTAAGCTAAGAACATTAGGTAAATAGGTAATTAGTCCTATAAGTAGACCAGTAAAGTATCCTGGATACCAGTATTATCATACTTAAGAAATTGGAGTAAATGAGGAAATTAAAAATGAACTGATTCTAGAAAAGCTCTGGTTTGCCACTATGCTGATAATGTAATTTAGAAAAGTAAGGGCTGCTAATATAACAACCTTCATTTACTCAATAAACAAAAATAATAATAATAATAATATATACATAATTAGGTACCTATAATAATATTGAAAAAAAACCTAGATGATCTACTTGCTAAATCGAAACGAAACATATATCAGCAGTTGCCAACTTGCCATGCATTAACAATTCTATCATGCTTGCATATATACAGCATTGCAAGCATAGTGGCAAACCAGAGATTTTTTAGAATCAGTTCATTTTTAATTTCCTCATTTACTTGATATTTAGACCAATTTCTTATGTATGATGATGCTGGTAGGTATCCACCACCGTGCAGAGAGTGAACGAAGATTTAAAGACCTACGGCGACGCATTATCAGCAAAATTTTCGCCTTCAGAAGATCTTGCCGACACATTTAGATTGAAATTCTTGCATTTAATATATTTCTCAGTCTTCAGCCAACTATTTAGAAAAAAAGTAAGGTTTCCGGT